ATTGCTTCTTACACCAGAAAATGGAAGTTAAATTCCTTCTGACAGTAATAAAGTTAGTTGCGTTCATGACGTTTGAATAAATTTTTGATCATAGAGTAACCCAGGGTGACTGAGACGGCAGCGATGTAAGTAAAAGAAACACCATGAATATACGCATTACTGAGTAGTTAGAACCCCAGCTGCACGGACGAATCCACCACAGTTTCTGAAAATTTTGTGCCAGTAACCAATACAGGTGGTTAAAACGCACCCCACATAAACGCAAATTGCAAACGCATTATCCGGTGCAGGTGGTTAAAACCCACCCCACATAAACGCAAATTGCAAACGCATCGTTGGTGTCTATACTGGTTTGCACGTGGGTTCACAACTCCTAACTTGCGTGCGGTTTCTTTCGCCGTGTTTTAGATGAATTGAGTCCAGCTGAAAAACTTGGACAAATCTTGAGTGCTGGTGATGTGAACAAGTTATGTAAAGCAGCGCTACCGTTTAAAAACTATGGTGAGTTTGTGACAATTTTCAACGTGCAATCATCCAACAAAATGGTATCTTAAAATGCGGATTGAATTTTAAAAAATTTGGCCACTTATTTATCCTGTCAATTTCTACACACTCACCGAAAACAAAACTCGCACCACGTTGGATGCCAAACGATGGTTACAAGTTTCGCCCACAGTTTCAGACAGAATTAGTCAGGAAGTAGCGCTGCCGCACAAACTAACAGTATGGCATTAAGACCGACTCGGTTCTCCTGCTTTCCGATTACCACTTGAGCGCACACCATGCTGGCATCACTTTCAAGTGTCCCTTAAACTTCCAGTCGTTTGCCACTTGAGCGTCCCACACCCAGTGATTAACTCAAGTCTAATCAAGATTTCTTACAATAACCATTGACCGATGAGCCCTAATCTACTTCCACTTGGTGAGGTCAGCTTTATCAAGTTGACCATTATAGAGCATTCACTTGTCTTAGTAAGTGTTCACGCGTTCGTAACATGTAACAGTGTGTGCAAGCCACACAATAAGCGCACCAATTGACACAGGTCACGCAAAGACAACATAATCATGGTCAACCGGTAACTAAACTTGTGAAACTTAGAACAACTCCTTAAAAACCAGGATTTAGTTTCTCTTTTCGGAGCAGTTTTTCATCTCTCTCTATAGCTGTTGATTGTGGCTTTAGGAAAGTTCGTCCAAATTATCGTTTTTCAACAATATTTAATTTTTTCTTTACATATTCCAGTTTCAAAACAACAGTTAGGACAGGCCAAAACTTTGAATGCGCCCACGAAGATTGCACAATTTCTCTAGAAGTTTCGGAATTCAGCGAGCCCAACAAAAACACGCCGCAATTACCTTATTCTACCGTAATTCAATTTGCTTCGGTTCACATGTTCAAATTGATCTAAATTAAACAGTATAGCTTATGCTTTGCTTCCAAGTGTGACGTTTTGGTGACAGTGCTGGAAAATTAATTTTGCAGTGTTATTTGAAATCCATGAGAAACTTGTAACTTTTGGTCGATGTTCGACATACCACTGTTTTTGTGACTGCGGCAACTAATCAACTATGGTCGAAGAAACCGTTGTGTTCATGCAACAGCCCACCTCTGTAGCGTATGAATTTTTTTGTTTTTCGTATGTTCAACTTATTCCCATCGAAACTTTGTTCCATTGGAAATTTAGGATAGTTTCCCAAGTTCGCTGATATAATTGTTGATTCACACAAACACAGTCCACGAATTTCTTAATTTGTCTTTAAGCAGGCATATAAAACACGTTTTCTCTGTCAACTCTCACACAGAAATGAATTCACAGTGCTACAACAGAACAGGCTCATGCAGTTTCCAAAGTGAGTGGCAGATAATATCTCGTCTCAGATATATTTGTGCGCTTCATTTTTCAACATCCCACCAGTCAAAAGTAAATAACTAATCCGAAGAAGAGATTTGATCTTGGTTACTTCGAATTCGTTTCTGATTTTGGAAACGCTCTGCAAATAGTTGACACAAATTTATTCAATTATTGCATTTTTGAGCTACACTTAATACTTAGAAATAGTAACAATAGCGAGAACTAACTCCGGAGGTGCAGTTTCAGAATGATTCCCTACTAAAGCTGAAACTTTCTCTGAAATCTTCCAGTATGTTGTTACGCTCAAAGATCGAAGCCCACATATTCATGAGCGGACCATGTCGGTGATTCTTATGTTGATTGCAGGTTGGGATTCGCTCTCTGGGTTTCGTTAAATACTCCAACCAAAATTGATTCAATTTTGTTAGAAAGCTCGTAGGTTCCATAGTTATCCTTGCACCACTATGGAAATTTGTGTACGGTCCGAGCTACATCAGGCTTCTGTTTTCAGAGCTCTGAATTGAGTTCGTAAATAACCTGACTAATTGAACGCCCAAAAAGTGGGATGCGCTGTAGCGTTTTGCGTTAAATTGAACTGAATGTTGGGATAAAATTGATTGGAGTTCGTCAAGAGAGCGTTTACTTCGGAGCTGTTCGATGCCAGTATAAAAATATAAGCAACGTACCGTCGACGAAAATGATTCTGTCTATTGTCCCCATTCACTCCACCAAGCTCCCCTTTACTCAGAGAAGTTTCTCTCAACAGGGCACTAAGCCCACGGTGAATACATCAACTTGTCGGTAAAAAATGGAATTATTTTGATGTTAGGCGCAAGTGTAACTCTTTTACGGTCAATATATTCACATAAAATTTATAACCAGCAACTGGTCCAAACGTCCTACGCAGACGTCTCTCACGCCCGCTGTAAAGGTCGCAATTTACTTGAGTCTAACTTATAAGTGCGACAGACAACCAGTTGCCGTCTGGTTCAATCCTAACAATGCCCGTTTCCGTCTTCAAATCTGCATTCTTGATTTACAACACTCACCTTCCTCAATGTAAACCTCAAACACAAGATGCCAGCCCTCACCCAGAATATAGTTGTGTAATATATCTCAGTCGGTTATTCAGCGGAATACATTGGGCGCTGACATGGTAACGTGATAAGAGAATACGTAAGCATCTTTCTTACCGGTACAGTATTACGCTCAGCGGTTCATTCAAATGCTCGGTGGCGTCCCACATAATTGACACTCGTCAAAAGAAAACCGAAAGAGTAATTTTACGTTATCCTCCGGTTATTCAATAGACTGACGGTATCGATGCAACCGCGTGTTTTGTCTACAAGTGGAGCAGTTGTAAATATTCGTAAAATCCGTTACTATGCCCTCAAAAAGGATTTGTACAAGCGCTGATGCAGCCTCGGTCATGAGACAAGCGTCGATGGGATAAAATATATTCTACTGCTTCCCAGGGTGCAGCTCGGTTGAGTTTTCCGAACACAGCAGAATTTAAGAGGTATATCATCGCGGAAGTGTCTTGAGTGTTGACTGATTTGGCAATGAGACCGAAGTTTCATTGTCTTAGTTTTCAAGTCCCCAAAGAATATATTATGGAAATTCCACTTAACGCGATAACAGAAAAAAGGGTTACACGGCTAATGGGCACATATTTCTAGTTATTCTACGGATCCTTTGCTGATGTTTCAAACGTTTTCATTTCGCAGTCGAATAAAGAAAGGTTTAGTGGACACACGGTGCATAACTGTCGAAAGATTACTGCTATCTGGGGGATCTGAATTCTACACACCCGAGATTACAATCCGTTCATGGCATGACAAGGTTTTCGTAAATATCCCGTTGTCTTTGTTGTTGTTCAGTCTGCTGTCCATGGATCGATATTCCCACAGTTTTTCTGGAGGTCTCGACGTGCACTATCTCTTTCGCCACACATAAGCTAGCACACTGATTCTCGTTTTACATTCAGATCTAGAATATCAATTTCCACTGCCCAAACTAAACGCATTCACTGAATGGGACAATTCCACAGCCGCCGAATATGTGAGTTTGCACTAGATTCCTCACAACTTGTACTGTATATTACGTAGCGACTGCCTGGGCAAAAATTTGTGTACCTGCAGACTAATGTGCCAAAATTGCGGCTGTTGTTCACTATTCAGTGGCACCGACTTCACCGATTAGTGTGAGGTCTTCGGGAGACCAGAAACCGTTGATAGTATAGTGTTCCCCACACCACTGGGGACCACTATGTAATCTCGCAAGAATGGTCCATTCTATGAAACATCTACTCGCAGGGATTGGCCATACTTAAAGTTTCATATGAAAACTTGATGGCAGCCTAACTGGATATTTAACTGGCATAATTTGCCCGGTAGGATTCCGCGTTACCTACAACTTTTGTTTGATAGATAATCAAATGTATTGCCTTCAAAACTGAGTCCTATGCCACATTTCGCCCGCTCCTTGTCCATGACCCTTAAGAATACCTGGTGGACTTCCTCACCCAACTATTGATCTTCGAGAAAAAGGAGAAAAATGAAACTCCTTGATTAAGGAGTGGGTTGTCATCCCACTGTCGAAAACAAACGCCTGTTCTGTGCAAACTTCTAGTAGCAGATTGAAATTGAACAGTCGGGATTTTTGTCTCTCGCCATGAAGGGATACGCATAACACTCGGCAAATTTTATCTCCAAAGCAGGCTTACAACTATTTTTGGAACAGGCTTGTTCTGTGTTAATTTACTGTAAAGTAGAGTACGATTGCGTGGCTCGTTATTTATAAAGGACATTTGAGGACAGTTGAATACCCTTAGTACATGTTAGTGTGGATCCAAAATGCACAGATTTATAGTCGAACATCTGGCAACTAAATCCGTGGAAAGCAGCACCTGAAATGACACAAATGTTTCACGATTTGTCAGCCCCATCTTGATTCCTAGACTGGTAGCTATTGGACGGCTTTACACCAGTTGAGCATTGTCCTTTTGGCTTTTATCACACCGGACTGAAAGGGCTTAACTCTATCTGCTATATATCCGCCCAAAGTGACAATAAATATAATACACAGTACGAAATTTTCAATGTGTGGTGAGCGATGCAATATGAAACAACTACACACCTTTTTCAGGTCAAAACCTGGCTGAAACAAAACAATCTCTCACATTACATACCTGCGATCTGTGTCGATGATATTATCAACACAACATCTTGCGACGTGACGGCCGTCGGGAACTTCTACTTCCATATGCATCCAACTGTCAACATTTCTTTAAGGCACGTGGAGATTTTGAACGTTCTTCCCATGCCCCCGAAGAGCTACTGTATGAAGCTTTCAAGTAAGTGGTTCTGACGTTTCTTGAAGCATGCCTCAAAAGTGTGGCGAATTTTGTTTGTGAAGATTTACTAGGCGAAACAGGAGTTGATTATTCTTCCTCAAAATGCAGACGTTCATATCATTACGTGATATAATCCACAAGAAATCTCATTTTCCTTCTTTTGATTCTCTACATATCCGAAATTTTGTGTGCACAGTGCAACATTTCGTCTTGCACACAGTAGTCATTCAATCGCATTAAAAAAGTACGAAATTCTCGGCATACCTACAGACGCGATCTGCACGACTAGGTGCTCACCTATCTTCACAGCACATGATTACGTTATACACTGAGATTTGCGATTCTAACCCGCCTATCGGACAAGAGTCTACTTATATGCCGTTCCAACCCCTCTGTCAGGTTGAGCTTCGGGACGCGTCATAGATGGTCTGAAAATCACAGAAAGTGATTGATCATACAGGGCTGTTTGATGGAATAGCATATCATTTGCAACTCGTTTTGCTCCACTTATCCATCTAAGTTCTGTAAGAATTTAAAAAAGAACGCTGGACGCAATTTGCATATTTCTTCTGACTTAAAACCACAGTGATTTCCGTTTCCGACGAATACCGCTGGGGCAACCCGAAGGCGTTCTTTGTGCACAATGACAATCTAGTCTTGATGTCTTGAACTTAATCGGACTGGAAACTTTATACAACCTAACTTAAGAATTTTCACTTTAAGCTTCTATGGAATGGATCTGCACAGCTCGAATCTATCCATCCATCAACGGGAATATATAAACACCCTAAAAGGTTTGCATTCCCCTATTTTGTCAGTGACCGATGATCTTCATAACTTACATTCATATGACACTCCATTTAACGGTTGTCTTGATGGTATTGTTCAAGGGAGTCTACACCAAATAAGGAAGTCACTGTATCAGCGTTCCTCCCCCTCATTAATTCTTGTCAGCTGTGCTGCGCAGTTCAACTGGATCTGTGTGCCCACCAGTTTAGTTTTACCCAACTTCATACATTCATTGACCAGGTGCACCATAGTGCTAAACCTGATCTGTATAGGCTGGTGCACACTGCACTCCGAAAATTTCCGGTTTCCTTTCACATCCTGCCTAAAATCTGTCTTTGTTCCCAAGCTCCAGCCCTCCAGTCTCAGAAGCTTATGGCATGCGACTATTCATTACCACTAAAAGCCGTCGGTAAGTAGCTGGTTTGTTACGCGATATATTAATACTATTTTGTGAACCTCAAATTACCGGAATCACCTGCTTAGTAGCGCGGAAACATTATGGACTACTTCATGAGGATTGAGCTGTTAGAGTTTCGAAAAACTCATCAAGCAGTGTGGTCGAAAATCTCCAGTATGTGGCCAGATGTTGGACCTTAACCTGCCTATACTTCAGCTCCAGGGAAACTAATCAACTATGGTCGAAGAAACCGTTGTGTTCATGCAACAGCCCACCTCTGTAGCGTATGAATTTTTTTGTTTCGTATGTTCAACTTATTCCCATCGAAACTTTGTTCCATTGGAAATTTAGGATAGTTTCCCAAGTTCGCTGATATAATTGTTGATTCACACAAACACAGTCCACGAATTTCTTAATTTGTCTTTAAGCAGGCATATAAAACACGTTTTCTCTGTCAACTCTCACACAGAAATGAATTCACAGTGCTACAACAGGACAGGCTCATGTAGTTTCCAAAGTGAGTGGCTGATAATATCTCGTCTCAGATACATCTGTGCGCTTCATTTGTCATCATCCTATCAGTCAAAACTAAATAACTAATCCGACGAAGAGATTTGATCTTGATTACCTCGAATTCGCTTCTGATTTTGGAAACGCTCTGCAAATGGTTGACACAAATTTATTCAATTATTGCATTTTTGAGCTACACTTAATACTTAGAAATAGTAACAATAGCGAGAACTAACTCCGGAGGTGCAGTTTCAGAATGATTCCCTGCTAAAGCTGAAACTTTCTCTGAAATCTTCCAGTATGTTGTTACGCTCAAAGATCGAAGCCCACATATTCATGAGCGGACCATGTCGGTGATTCTTATGTTGATTGCAGGTTGGGATTCGCTCTCTGGGTTTCGTTAAATACTCCAACCAAAATTGATTCAATTTTGTTAGAAAGCTCGTAGGTTCCATACCATAGTTATCACCACTATGGAAATTTGTGTACGGTCCGAGCTACATCAGGCTTCTGTTTTCAGAGCTCTGAATTGAGTTCGTAAATAACATAACCTATTGAACGCCCAAAAAGTGAGATGCGCTGTAACGTTTTGCGTTAAATTGAACTGAATGTTGGGATAAAATTGATTGGAGTTCGTCAAGAGAGCGTTTACTTCGGAGCTGTTCGATGCCAGTATAAAAATATAAGCAACGTACCGTCGACGAAAATGATTCTGTCTATTGTCCCCATTCACTCCACCAAGCTCCCCTTTACTCAGAGAAGTTTCTCTCAACAGGGCACTAAGCCCACGGTGAATACATCAACTTGTCGGTAAAAAATGGAATTATTTTGATGTTAGGCGCAAGTGTAACTCTTTTACGGTCAATATATTCACATAAAATTTATAACCAGCAACTGGTCCAAACGTCCTACGCAGACGTCTCTCACGCCCGCTGTAAAGGTCGCAATTTACTTCAGTCTAACTTATAAGTGCGACAGACAACCAGTTGCCGTCTGGTTCAATCCTAACAACGTGCGTTTCCGTCTTCAAATCTGCATTCTTGATTTACAACAATCACCTTGCTCAATGTAAACCTCAAACACAAGATGCCAGCCCTCACCCAGAATATAGTTGTGTAATATATCTCAGTCGGTTATTCAGCGGAATACATTGGGCGCTGACATGGTAACGTGATAAGAGAATACGTAAGCATCTTTCTTGCCGGTACAGTATTACGCTCAGCGGTTCATTCAAATGCTCGGTGGCGTCCCACATAATTGACACTCGTCAAAAGAAAACCGAAAGAGTAATTTTACGTTATCCTCCGGTTATTCAATAGACTGACATTATAGATGCAACTGCATGTTTTGTCTACAAGTGGAGCAGTTGTAAATATTCGTAAAATCCGTTACTATGCCCTCAAAAAGGATTTGTACAAGAGCTGATGCAGCCTTGGTCGTGATACAAGAGTCGATGGGATAAAATATACTCTACTGCTTCCCAGGGTGCAGCTCGGTTGAGTTTTCCGAACACATTTAGCAGAATTTAAGAGGTATTTCATCGCGGAAGTGTCTTGAGTGTTGACTGATTTGGCAATGAGACCGAAGTTTCATTGTCTTAGTTTTCAAGTCCCCAAAGAATATATTATGGAAATTCCACTTAACGCGATAACAGAAAAAAGGGTTACACGGCTAATGGGCACATATTTCTAGTTATTCTACGGATCCTTTGCTGATGTTTCAAACGTTTTCATTTCGCAGCCGAATAAAGAAAGGTTTAGTGGACACACGGTGCATAACTGTCGAAAGATTACTGCTATCTGGGGGATCTGAATTCTACACACCCGAGATTACAATCCGTTCATGGCATGACAAGGTTTTCGTAAATATCCCGTTGTCTTTGTTGTTGTTCAGTCTGCTGTCCATGGATCGATATTCCCACAGTTTTTCTGGAGGTCTCGACGTGCACTATCTCTTTCGCCACACATAAGCTAGCACACTGATTCTCGTTTTACATTCAGATCTAGAATATCAATTTCCACTGCCCAAACTAAACGCATTCACTGAATGGGACAATTCCACAGCCGCCGAATATGTGAGTTTGCACTAGATTCCTCACAACTTGTACTGTATATTACGTAGCGACTGCCTGGGCGAAACTGTGTGTATGCCTGCAGACTCAGTCAATGTGCCAAAATTGCGGCTGTTGTTCACTATTCAGTGGCACCGACTTCACCGATTAGTGTGAGGTCTTCGGGAGACCAGAAACCGTTGATAGTATAGTGTTCCCCACACCACTGGGGACCACTATGTAATCTCGCAAGAATGGTCCATTCTATGAAACATCTACTCGCAGGGATTGGCCATACTTAAAGTTTCATATGAAAACTTGATGGCAGCCTAACTGGATATTTAACTGGCATAATTTGCCCGGTAGGATTCCGCGTTACCTACAACTTTTGTTTGATAGATAATCAAATGTATTGCCTTCAAAACTGAGTCCTATGCCACATTTCGCCCGCTCCTTGTCCATGACCCTTAAGAATACCTGGTGGACTTCCTCACCCAACTATTGATCTTCGAGAAAAAGGAGAAAAATGAAACTCCTTGATTAAGGAGTGGGTTGTCATCCCATTGTCGAAAACAAACGCCTGTTCTGTGCAAACTTCTAGTAGCAGACTGAAATTGAACAGTCGGGATTTTTGTCTCTCGCCATGAAGGGATACGCATAACACTCGGCAAATTTTATCTCCAAAGCAGGCTTACAACTATTTTTGGAACAGGCTTGTTCTGTGTTAATTTACTGTAAAGTAGAGTACGATTGCGTGGCTCGTTATTTATAAAGGACATTTGAGGACAGTTGAATACCCTTAGTACATGTTAGTGTGGATCCAAAATGCACAGATTTATAGTCGAACATCTGGCAACTAAATCCGTGGAAAGCAGCACCTGAAATGACACAAATGTTTCACGATTTGTCAGCCCCATCTTGATTCCTAGACTGGTAGCTATTGGACGGCTTTACACCAGTTGAGCATTGTCCTTTTGGCTTTTATCACACCGGACTGAAAGGGCTTAACTCTATCTGCTATATATCCGCCCAAAGTGACAATAAATATAATACACAATACGAAATTTTCAATGTGTGGTGAGCGATGCAATATGAAACAACTACACACCTTTTTCAGGTCAAAACCTGGCTGAAACAAAACAATCTCTCACATTACATACCTGCGATCTGTGTCGATGATATTATCAACACAACATCTTGCGACGTGACGGCCGTCGGGAACTTCTACTTCCATATGCATCCAACTGTCAACATTTCTTTAAGGCACGTGGAGATTTTGAACGTTCTTCCCATGCCCCCGAAGAGCTACTGTATGAAGCTTTCAAGTAAGTGGTTCTGACGTTTCTTGAAGCATGCCTCAAAAGTGTGGCGAATTTTGTTTGTGAAGATTTACTAGGCGAAACAGGAGTTGATTATTCTTCCTCAAAATGCAGACGTTCATATCATTACGTGATATAATCCACAAGAAATCTCATTTTCCTTCTTTTGATTCTCTACATATCCGAAATTTTGTGTGCACAGTGCAACATTTCGTCTTGCACACAGTAGTCATTCAATCGCATTAAAAAAGTACGAAATTCTCGGCATACCTACAGACGCGATCTGCACGACTAGGTGCTCACCTATCTTCACAGCACATGATTACGTTATACACTGAGATTTGCGATTCTAACCCGCCTATCGGACAAGAGTCTACTTATATGCCGTTCCAACCCCTCTGTCAGGTTGAGCTTCGGGACGCGTCATAGATGGTCTGAAAATCACAGAAAGTGATTGATCATACAGGGCTGTTTGATGGAATAGCATATCATTTGCAACTCGTTTTGCTCCACTTATCCATCTAAGTTCTGTAAGAATTTAAAAAAGAACGCTGGACGCAATTTGCATATTTCTTCTGACTTAAAACCACAGTGATTTCCGTTTCCGACGAATACCGCTGGGGCAACCCGAAGGCGTTCTTTGTGCACAATGACAATCTAGTCTTGATGTCTTGAACTTAATCGGACTGGAAACTTTATACAACCTAACTTAAGAATTTTCACTTTAAGCTTCTATGGAATGGATCTGCACAGCTCGAATCTATCCATCCATCAACGGGAATATATAAACACCCTAAAAGGTTTGCATTCCCCTATTTTGTCAGTGACCGATGATCTTCATAACTTACATTCATATGACACTCCATTTAACGGTTGTCTTGATGGTATTGTTCAAGGGAGTCTACACCAAATAAGGAAGTCACTGTATCAGCGTTCCTCCCCCTCATTAATTCTTGTCAGCTGTGCTGCGCAGTTCAACTGGATCTGTGTGCCCACCAGTTTAGTTTTACCCAACTTCATACATTCATTGACCAGGTGCACCATAGTGCTAAACCTGATCTGTATAGGCTGGTGCACACTGCACTCCGAAAATTTCCGGTTTCCTTTCACATCCTGCCTAAAATCTGTCTTTGTTCCCAAGCTCCAGCCCTCCAGTCTCAGAAGCTTATGGCATGCGACTATTCATTACCACTAAAAGCCGTCGGTAAGTAGCTGGTTTGTTACGCGATATATTAATACTATTTTGTGAACCTCAAATTACCGGAATCACCTGCTTAGTAGCGCGGAAACATTATGGACTACTTCATGAGGATTGAGCTGTTAGAGTTTCGAAAAACTCATCAAGCAGTGTGGTCGAAAATCTCCAGTATGTGGCCAGATGTTGGACCTTAACCTGCCTATACTTCAGCTCCAGGGTGAACAAGACGCTTTGTGGCCTACGCCGTCCTCAGATCTGTAGTTGTGAACGAGGCGTATCCGCCCATTACTTGACTTTTACCTTCATTCTACGCGGAATTCAACTTAATAATGAAGTTTGATGCTACAGTGCACTTAGAATAAACTCGAGACGAGTAACGAAATATATATTCAGGTAGGCTGCATCAAATTTGTACAAAATAAGGTGGAAGTATGCACACGTAATGACTTATAATTCGGGCCAATTGTTACCCGTACTATGCGTAGATTTTTCTGAATACTGTTCAAAGAAGCATCGGGAATTCTTCCCATTGGCTTGTTTTTTTTGACCAGCAGACGAAGACCTCACGGCTTTCTGGTTGTGCTATTAACACTAATCCAGCTGCCTAGTCGTGCAAAATTAAATGAATGCGGGGATAACCGTCTTTCGGTATTGGTTGGATAGCCATGGCTGTAAGCGCGGTTACTGGCTGTGTTTATAAGACATTTGCTGCCAGTACAGCCGAAAACTCATTTTTGAAAATAAAACTTTAGGAAACATTTATCTGTAGAAATCACTAGTCAGAATTAAGATCTTTTGATACCCGGGGATCGATGGGGCACAAGAGATACCATTCAAAATCGTGGTTTAGTGAATAAGGTAACCAGGTGATCTTGGTTGCCGGTTCAGCTCATTTTACTCCAAAATGGTTTTGTTAGAACGCGTGTTGACCCGATTGCCAGATGCGGGCGTTCCCCCATCTTCTAAACCTACTTCGGCCTGTCGTCAGTCAGAAACAAGCTTCAGTATAGCGAAGAAGTATGGTTTTATCAATGTATCGGATGTATCGTCCACCCATTCATTGGACGCAGCTGGAACGGTGATAAACTACACCAAACTACCTTTCGCTGGGAGGGAACATTCCTGGCATTTGTTTAGATGATGTGGTAATTCATCTAAAACAAGCGTATAGCCTATTGGGGAGTGCACAACTTATACGACTTATACCATAACTTTTGGAAGGCAACCGTTCTTTAAGTATCCTTCGTTGAATACAGGGGATTTTAGGTTACATGGACGATCCTGCAAACAGGGCTACTTTTCACTTGCCTAGTTAAACTCTTGCAGCCTATTCCAAATTGCCCATGACTCGGTACAAGGTTACCATAACTTCTCGGGAATAATGATTAAACCTACCTTGTCACCCACCAGCCTTGTCGGCAAGATGGAATGGCTCGTATTCTGAGAGGGGTCTATCCATTTCTCAGGTTCACGAGCATTGTAAGCTCTTTCTGTTGCCTTGGCGAAAAAATCGCCGGGGTATACATGCCTATGTTCATTATTGTTGAATTACGGAGGCCTTTAGCGTCGTTCAACAAAAGTAATCTAAGGGATTCTGGACAGTTTTGCTTCCTAGCCGAAGTTATGTCAACGGACATGTTTTCCTCCTTTTTCTCAGCATAACCTCATTTTGGTGATATCGGGGAATTTTCTGTGATTACCCTAAGGCTGGTCACTCAAGAGCTGTTTTGGACGCACCATGTTTGCTCCCTGAATTCATTCGATTTATTTCTGGTGAAATGACACCTTGTAGTGTTGTTATGAAAGTTCGGTAGTGTCCGTGTCTGGTAGAAAGCTGTTTCAAGCTGCGTGCACAGGAACACGTCAAACTGGCTCATTCTAACACCGACTGCTCTACAAAAAATACAAGTCTTTGACCACAAAAATTTCTCTGGTGGCCTGAGAAAGAGGAGCTATTTGGCTTTGGACATCTGAGATAACACAGTCCAGAGTCGTGTTTCTTTTGGATTACAGCGGTAGATTCACCACTGAGAGCACTTGATAATGAGTTTAATTTTGCGTTTTCCGCTAACAATTCTAGGATCGATGATGTCCAAAACTGCTGTGCATTTGATGTGAACCTATATCAGAGCTCAGAGGCACTAGCACAACCCATCCAGATACTGTTCTCTGAGTAAATGGTGGAGGATAATAACGGAACTAATCGCGACGGGGGTAGGAGTTTCAAGTCTGGTCCGGTCAAGCAACTTATACAGACGGTAAAAAGCTGCGATATATGGCTCCGGCCTATCGTAATCATTAATAACTTAAAGAACTTTAATGACACGTCGTTGCTCTAAGGTAGATGAAAAAACTTACTGTTACTAGAACAACAAAGATAATCTGGTTTTCTGAGACATTTCATACGTGATGAAATCGATCGTCGCCCGGTTAAGAGTTACACCCGAAGTACCCAGGTTATTCCAACCACCTTCGGAGAGTGTTGAACAACTGCAACTTCCTGGGGACTATTTTCAAATGAGAATGAATTGCTCGATTACGTGGTTCTAAAGTTTATTTTTTCGATTTGTTTCCTCGTGACCTTTGGTGCTCACGGATACGGTGACACTGCTTTTGTCCTCCCTCGTGAAATGAATCGCTGTGCCATTCATCAGCTGCCGTAAATTTCTTTCATCTTTGTACTGTGAAGTGTGTCATTTTCTGATTTTGGGGAATCAGGTTTAGGCTGTTTCGGCCCTCATTCGCATCATGTGCTAGAAAGTGAAATATGGTCGCTGACAAGGAGTATTTCCGCCAGCGTCAGTGATTCGCGTGCAGTGTGAAGAAGCAAACACCCCTGACGTTCACCAAGGATAGTTTTGGGCTTGAGATTGTGTTACCTAGCTTTTATCGTGCGCTTGATATCTGCTAAAATAGGTATGATTGCTTACGGTACATCTGACAACTTCTAATGGACTGGATAACCAGCTGTTTGGGATGATTCCGGGATCATGCGTTGCCTGTTGTACCATAAAAACATAGTTTACTTCCTGTGGTCATTTCAGCATGACCTACTGATAGTCATTAAGGGGTTTTAATTCCAAACGTGTGAGATTCAGCAGACAAACAAGGTGATTAAAATGCGAGCGATGCGAGTCAACAAACATTCTGTCCCTACGAAATGCCAAGGCAGTCCAAAATTTCGGAGACACTTGAGAAACAATCGGTAAATTCAGCGTAGAGCAACAGTTTACTTTTGATACAAAAGCCTTGTCAGGTCAAGTGACCAGGTTACGAAGTTGGTCGAGATTTATTGTGAAAGGAGAACCAATCAAGTAAATCAGACTTGATTAATTTTGAGTGTCTGCGGAGGGGTTTCGTTTGTTAGGGTGGGTCCGCAAGCGTTAGGACCAACATGGAATTGAGTCCAGCTAAGAGTCCAGTTCTTCCGGTTCGCTCCTCTAAAAAATCGTTTTGTGCGTCTGTGTGGATGACCTAATGCCAGATGGGATTTATAATCTCCCGTTTTTGTAAATCATTTTGCCCTTATTGACAGTGTCACGCCATGCCCAAAACCTCCCTCACCAGTTCCACACACTTGATTCCTTTTTACGCTGTGATATTTGCTGATTTTCCGCTGAAGATCAGTCGTTATGGTCTGAATCGCAGTCTCCCTCCATCAAACTTCCACATTCTTGGCAATCCTCACGCTTTCGATTCTCATATGCTCGCCAACTCTGGTATGCCGTCCAATGATTGTTTGACCCATGTAAATCCTAGGGCAACCGTTGCACATAATTTTATACACAGTTTCTATTCCTTTAAACCGGAAAGAGATCGCTTGATTGTACCAAAACTGAGCGTAACGTTTTCCTCCTCATCAATCTTCAAATGACCTCTACAGTTCCTGCTTCATAAGGAACGAATGCACTGTCAATCCATCCCTTACCGGGTCTTAAGATCGGAGCCAATGTCCTATTTCTTAAAGTCTGCTGGCAATCTAGATTTGAGCTGATTTTCAGTCGTTTCTTTTATGTGTACAGTGCTCTTACTCGACTAAACAATGATGAGACACGGACTTTAAGTGTGCTGCTGAGTAATTTAAAAGGGTCCGGAATCTGTTGACTGCTAGTGGATAGCAGTCTTTTTATATTTTTTTCCATTGTTGTTATGTGTTATACAGTCCAGGGCGTTAAGTGTGCCCGAAGTGGACACTCTTTGTATCTAAACTTCATCTGGGGGACGTGATGTCCTCCTCTAATCCCGATGGTCAAGACGTACCCCAGAGAACCGCGTAATACGGCCGTTTTTTTTGGTGTTTGAGAATGTCTGTATTGGTTTCCACGTGGGTTCATAGATGCTTGCTTACGTATGGTTCCGCTAACCGTGTTTTAGGTGAACTGAGTCCAGCTGAAAAACTTGGACAAATCTTGAGTGCTGGTGATGTGAACAAGTTGTGTGAAGCAGCGCTACCGTTTAAAAACTATGGTGAGTTTGTGACAATTTTCAACTTGCAATCATCAAACAAAATAATATCTTAAAATGCGGGTTAAGTTGTGGCTACTTATTCATCCAGTCACTTTCTAAATGTCCACTAATAACAGAAATCCATCCGTGTTGGATGCCGAACAATGGTTTCCACCTTCATGCACAGTTTTAGACAGAATTGCTCAAGAAGAAGCGCTGCCGCACAAACTAACAGTATGGCATCAAGACCGACTCGGTTCTCCTGCTTTTTACCACTTGAGCGCACACCATGCTGGCATCACTTTCAAGTGTCCCTTAAACTTCTAGTCGTTTGCCACTTGAGCGTCCCACACCCAGTGATTAACTCAAGTCTAATCAAGATTTCTTACAATAACCATTGACCGATGAGCCCTAATCTACTTCCACTTGGTGAGGTCAGCTTTTTCAAGTTGACCATTATAGAGCATTCACTTGTCTTAGTAAGTGTTCACGCGTTCGTAACATGTAACAGTGTGTGCAAGCCACACAAAGATGCTACATTCATGATCAACCCGTAATCATACCTTATGCCGGAAGCGTCAAAAATAACTTCCTATCAAAACTGTGATTCATTTTTCTCTCCACTGCCTCCCTTTGACTCTCCTTGTTTGTATCGGATGTGAACTTGAGAAAGTTGTTCAAATACCAAATGCCTGTCTTCTTCTGGTCCTCAAGTGAATTGTGGTCTTGGCCTGAGAATTATTAATTTATGTCGTACTGTAATAAACTCAAGTCAAACTTACAAACCGAGTGTTATCAATAAGCGCTGGGAAACCCGGGGATCGTAACTGGTGGTTAATCGGATGGCAGTTGATCTGTTTGCCGAGTTTGGCAACTGGCAGCTGACAACAGGGATCGTAAGTTAGGCCGGGAAACTTTACCGTTGGGCACTACACAAAAAACGATTACTCCCAAGGTCTCATATGTTAGACTGAATTTTATTTCTTAATATATTCTTAACAGATGGATGGTAAATATACATCTACGCAGTTAGATATGCTTGGTTCAAGCAGACGGTAATTTGTAGTTGAACAAAGTATCCCGTGGAAAGTATTGTAGAGGGGGTTCATCACATAATTAGATGAAGATTGACCAATGAAACGACTCTTCCAGAAAAACTATACATCTGGTGATGCTACTGAAAAAAGGTTCATTTTCTGTTATTTATTCAATCAGTTGATATTTGTGTAGGACTAATTTCTCAAAATCTGTGGAACGTAAGAGTCCACAGTAAATATCGTTTAATTCCAAATTATCCTAGCGGACTATGAAAGTCTCATTATTCCTTGTGCAAGTGCATACCAGGTCACATACAGTTGGCTGGTTTAGTCGGATACGCATTTTCCTAATAATTTAATACTCGACAACTTATTATTTTTCTGGCTGTGTGATCTGGAAGGTTGGTACCACGCTCCTCCTTGTTACTGCAGGTCAACCATGCGGTTAGGTCGCAAATACCGGCCACCTGTAATGGTGTCTAACACAAACACGTGGGCCGGTTCTCCACCCAGAACTCACCTTTGAACGTGCCCACAAATATACAACAATTTATTCATTCATTTTGGACGCCTCAGGAAGCAGTTATTTTATTTTTCATCGACTAAGTCCAAGGAAACTCACTGTTATTACTTTAATCTATCTCAATCCAATTAGCTTCGGTTCATTTGCTCAAATTAAAACAAACTAAGCAGTGAAGCCTGTGCTGTTATTCTAAATGTTACGTTTCGGCGACAATGTTGGAAATTCTATTGTGCAGTGTTATGTGAACTCTGTAGGACATATGAATCTTGGTCGATTTTCTGTGTTCTACTGTTTTGCATTCCCCGACAACAAATCAAATATGGTAGAAGAAACCCGTTGTATTCATGTAATTTGGCACTTGTCTGTAGCCAGTGACTTTTCTGGTTGGCACGTTCAACTTATTCTGTCAAGCATTCATTGCTGCGGAAGTCACAGACTGCCTCCCAAGGTCGCTGATATAATTTTGGATTCACACAAACATAAGCGAAGAATGTGTTAATTTGTCATGAAGCAAGCGTATAAAACACATTTTCACCGTCCACTCTCTCACAGAAATGAATTCACACTGCTACAACAAGACAGGCTCATGCAGTTTCCAAAGTGAGTGGCATATGACACCATAAACATATGTTCATTCCTCTACCGATAGCAATGCTCTACTCCTCGACTTACCATTTATTTTCTATCCGCGACACTGCTTCTCTCTTTCGGCTCATTTGTGATCCTTATGTCAGCCTGATTGAAGACTACAACTAAACTCGATTTTATTCTCTTCTGGGGGGTCGACAGTTTCACAGTGCTCCATCCGCCGGTACTAGCTGAATTTGGAAGTTCGATTGGCTCTTGCCGAGGTCCTGAGATTTGTTTTAGTGTAAGTGATAAGCCTACCTATTCTACTCTCGTGAGTGAGCTTCCTGAATGCAATCTGATGACAGGAATCTCAGCAGGATGAACACGATTTTCCACTGAAGCACATTGCCAGATTTCTCAAACTTATTGACACTAGTTCGCAGTCAGGTGATATTGATAGTCTATTGTATAACCGGGAAATGATACGAAACAAATCGTTTGGGTTGGTCATGAGACTAATGTCAATTTTGTGAGACACGATTGAGCATCTGGCTGAACCGCTAAATGCAGCGATGTTGCCGCTAGAGAGACTCGTATTTAGCATATTGTCGCATTGTGGGCCAAACTATTTCACAGAACAACAGCGGAAGGGATAATACGCATTCACATTCTGGGTGTCGGAGTTTTAAGTTGAGCAATGTGAATGCTGTAAACCAATATCGTGGTTGTGCGGTTATGTTATATAAGGGTTGAAGCCGGCTGTGATTTCCCGTGTCTGGCAACGGGTCCTTCGTACGGGGCAGACCCAAGTAGGTTGCAGTCTTTACCACGGTCATGACAGAACAATTAAGTAGGTCATTTCGACACATCTGCGGCTGAAAATCTCTGTGGACAACCGTTGGTTTAGAGCATGTCAGCAGTGTGCTTCAGTTCAATGTGCAAAGTATCCGCAGAGCTAATTCGCGTCGGTCATTTCTCTGATGTGTAAATCAAGGTTCAAAAACTATAGAGGTTTGTGTAGTGCTCACTTAACCTGTGCTTTCTATAAAGAGATAACTTTATTGAAATTATGGAAAATTCGACTAATTTAACGCCCATGAAATTAAATGTATTCCCTATTTCTGTCTCAAAGTGAAGTGAATAGAGGAAAATGGTTGGTTGGAAGTTGTCGAGTGACCGTCAGATTCGGAGGCGTTCGAGATTAGGATGCAATCCTGTTGACGTGTTTACCTATTTGTGAAAGATATTCCACAATTATTTCACGGTAGATCTGATAGCGAAGGCCCTTATATGAACGTATATATGCTCATCCCACGTAGATTAAACAAGTGTCACTACAAAAAAAATCGATTTTATACGGGATTTTTCCTGAAAGTTAATCTTGTGAATTTTTTTACGTATTATCAAAAAAACATCATAATGATGTTATCTCAAGCCTCGAGCTTTGACCGGAATCAAGAGGCATCTAGTAGACAGTTGCATTTGGACATGTTCGATATATGGTGGCTGCTAAATACATGTACCATCAATAAAATTTGTATTGCTTCTCGTCACTGTATCAGTGTCGTGGTCTACCCAAACTAACTTCTGTGATGGAGATTGGAGAACACCGAACCTAATCAAGCTACTAACCCAAATGATTTATCAAACCGATGCACAACTGCGAAAGATTATTAATAGCTAGGGAATCTGAAGACTACACGTCCCAGTTACAGAAGAGTAAACTTCAACGCTACCCGGTATGAAACCCGTGTTCATTGAATGACAGGTTTTCTGAAAATGTCTTTTTGCCGAAGCTGTTGTTCAGTCCGCTGTCCATGGATCGATATTTCCACAGTTTTTCTGGAGGTCTCGACGTGCACTATCTCGTTCGCCACACATAAGCTAGCACACTGATTTTCCTTTTACATTCAGGTCTAAAATATCAATTTCCGCTGCCCAAACTAAATGCATCCACTGAATGGGACAATTCCACAGCCGCCGAATATGTGAGTTTGCACTAGATTCTTCGCAACTTGTACCATGCAATATTTAGCGACTGGCTAAGCAAACCGAGTCTATGCCAACCGAATCAGTCAGTGTACTAAAACTGCGGTTATCTACTCAAACCACCCCCACTATACCGATTAAAATGCGGTATCGAGGAGGATATAAGTCGTGATTTCTACAATGGTTTTCCACACCCATGCAGATTACAGGCCAATTATGTTTGAAATGGATGCTCATTCTGTAAGAAGTATTCGTTCAGACGGACTGACCATATACATCGTTTCATGTGACGTCTTAGTGTCAGCCAAATCAACTTGCCAACAATCGATTACATCAGTTCGTATCTTGCATTATTTCCTCTCAATCTGGTTCCGTGTTAACTGCAACTCTTGTAAAATAAGCAACCAAACGGGGCAGTATCACAGGACAGTATCAACGCCAATCCCTTTGTCCAAGCTCCCCCCCAAACTGCCTTTCGTTTCTTCCTGCTTCTCCAGAATCTTCGACTAACAGTCTTCACCCGAATGTCAGAAAGATGAGTAGTAAACATGAATTTCTTGATGTAGCAATGGTTTCACATCGGTGGTTTGTCACCTTTCCCACCCACAAAAAGGGCCTTACAGTTTATCGTGTAATCATGCGAGCCTGTTTTATGTAATGTCCTTGTAGTAAAGTCAAGGTGTCTTTCGCCATGAAAGGATTCACATGACCATCGGCCAGTTTATCCACAAGAAAGACATGCAGTCATTATTTTCAGGTAGGGTTGGTCTGTACTAATTTACTGTGCATTAGAGTAACCTTGCGTGGAACCACGATGCTTTAAATGCATTTAGGGACAGATTCACTTTGTGTACAGTGGCGTGAGTCGAATTTGCACAAACTTTGATGCACGTGTTTGACAAATGAGCTTCAGGACAGTGCAGGTCAAGAGATTCAAAGGATGCGTAACCATTAAATGGTAGAGTTCGACTCAGCCTTCCTTGCTTTTCGGTAAATTCCGTTCTGCAATTTTGTCCGTGTATCCTAGACGAAATGCACTTCTGCGGAACTTAGCGCCAAATTATTCTACTTGCTACGGATACCGTGAGCTCGCACCTAACTCCCAGTAAAAACGTCTGCTCACAACAATCTAATTGCGACGAAACAGCTCAGTTTCCGCCAAGCTATAACGATGCTAATATTTTGCTGCATGACTTCAGATGTCTGATTTATTTACAAACGATATGAAATAAGTACACTTGTTTTTCAGGTCAAAGCCTGGCTGGGACAAAACAATCTCTCACGTCACATACCCGCGATCTGTGTCGATGATGTTATCAACACAGCATCTTGCGATGTGACTGCCGTCGGTTACTTCTACTTCCATGTGCATCCAACTGTCAACATTTCTTTAAGGCACGTGGAGATTTTGGACGTTCTTCCCATGCCCCCGAAGAGCTACTGTATGAAGCTTTCAAGTAAGTGGTTCTGACGTTTCTTGAAGCGTGCCTCAAAAGTGTGGCGAATTTTATTTGTGAAGATTTACTAAGCGAACCGGGAGGTGATTACTTTTCCTTACAGTTTTCTTTAGAGTTACTTTAGTTTCTCTTAGACATTCATATCATTATTCACACAATCCACAAGAACCTCCACTTTTCTATTCTCGATTCTTTGCAAATCCAATATTCTTTTGTTAAGAGTACAACAGTTTGGCTTAGACGCAGTAATCTTTCAACCGTGTGACACAAACAGTCCAAACGTGCTTAGCATACTCACGGATGCAATACGAACGGGCGGATATTTACTTATCTTCCCAGTGAATGATTACTGTGAACACCGAGATTCTAAACCGTAACTCGCCTACTGCAACGCGGGAGGGAGTCTGCTCCTATGCTATTCCGATATTCCCGCCAGTGGAGCGTTGAGTCCTACGAAAAATTGCCTGAAAATTAGGGGAAAATTATCTATCATCAAATAGAATATGTTTAAACCCTGAAAAAGCGCTTGCACAATAAAAGTGCTTAATTTTTGTCACCATTTTGCGTTCTTTCCTTCATTTTTTTCATATTTACTGCGTACTTTGAGGTAGTAAATGAACTGACATAGAAAGCGTTGTTTATCGATTATCCATCTAGGCTCAAAGATCACTCAGAAAATTTACTCCACGTAAAACTTTAAATCAATCGGTAATTTGGCATAGCAGCAATTCACTTCAAGAACGCTAACTACAGGCTGTATTTTAATCGATTGAAAATTGCAAAAGTTCTCGTTTTCTATGAAAACCACAAGGACTAACCAAAGGTGTACTTTTGTACAGAGTTGCCTTCAGAAAATATTCCTTCTTGATGTTCCGACCTTAAACGTCTTTGAAACAGTGCAATACCAAGTGCGAGAAATTTTGCTTGATTGAACTTGTTTGAGATAACTCTTCCTGTGGTTTTGTTTTGCAAAGTAAATATTCAGTGAATGTATACCTGCCGTTTGGATGATGTCACCCTCCTCTACCCAGTAACGATCAAAGTGGACTTGAGGAAATTCAGGTTTGCTTATTAGTGGCTGCGGTTCTGTACAATTTACATTAGCATTCTACTGATTCTAACATCCTTTCAGGGGTGGTTCTTCTAGCGAGTTCGTACCAAAGAAGGGCAGCACTGGAATTGAGTTTCCCCCTGGTTAAAGCTCATTACTGCACCTTCATGGCCCTGCTTCGCTTCAAATCCCAGGTAATTGACACGCAAGCTTGTTGACACTACACCATCTGTGAAAGCTTTAAGCACCTAGGTTATCACACCAAAAGAGGCGAATACGCTCACGCCCTTTAAAGCGATGTCCTTTATTAGCAAACACCAACTAAACAGTTACAAACTATTGGACGTGAAAGTAAACGTCTCATATGCCCCTTGTTTTTAAAAACTAGACATCCTCCTGCGTCTTCTTGAACTTTCGCGGATATTCATTGATTGTCACGCAATTGTAAACGAACGCTACGAAGAGTACCACAATTTTCGTAATAAACCTCACCTTTAGACGCGAGATGAATTTCCGAGGAAAACACATACTACTCGCATGTCTCATCAGTAGTATCCGCCGCTACACAGGTAACTGACATGTGAGCCTGTTGCCACTACTTCACCTACAAACGCTCAATCCCCTGGACTACCACATCCAAAGAGGTGATACGTTCACACTTGAGTGATGTTATCGGTTTGTCTGACTCTGTTACCGATCATCTTGGTTGTTTCGACTCATCGATTCACCTGCTGGGCAGTCCCACTTCATTTTCGGAACCAGGTGCCGCCGACTTGGATTGCCGGTAAAACAGGTTCGATTTAGGATCAAACCTATTCCTCAACTGTTACCAAGTGTTGCCCCGGTTGCAACAGTAGTATGTAGTTTGTAACCTTCAACAAGCTGACATGTGTTCCAATTAATCCTCCACTTTACCTTACTCCACAAATCCATTAATACATATTCCGACAAACCTAACTTTGGCCTCTACAATAAGTTATCACAACTTAGCCAGTGTATGCAACCACTCTTATACGACTTGAAGGCACAAGCTCAAAATTTTCAACGACCTTCCTCACCATCAGTCAGAGTGACAAACATTTCTTCTGACAGTCGTCACATTATCCCTCACCATGTTACTAAGTACCATGTAGTCTAAAGTGCCTTTTTCACTTTGACTAATCAACCATCTGTTTAGCGAGTTTCATTATCGTTCAGAATGGTCTCAAACACGATCGTCTTTGGCGTAGTACAATCTTATCCAACTTGGCAGAATCACGAAACCGCTCAAAAGGCAATTTGATGGCCTAAAGCAAATCAGGCACCCATATGACTCTGAACTGAATGAAAGTTATTTGGAGTTGCTTATGATGTAGTCAACTAGTTGAAGGTTGACCATATTCAGTAAACTACATTATTAAGCTGTGTTACGCTGGAATAGTGGTGCCTGGTGAACTATGACACGTTCTTTTGGCGCGCACACAGACACACATACAGTGCAATGATCGCTGGATGCAACTTTGAGGAAGTGGAATTTCAGAACGCCATCCTCATAGATACTGTAAGCCCTTTGGATGACGGATTGCGACGGCAAAGTTTCAGATGACTGAGTTTCAGTAATCGGGTATATTAGGCCATACAATGTGCGATGCCAGTGACATTCAGATGTGAAGGAAAGACTAAAATTGGGTTCCAGAGGAGCATGTTTGGTGGAAACCTGGAGGTATGGACAAGCGATAATGTCGTTACCCTGTGGGCTAGTATCTGCATGGGTACTAGTGGTAGGTCATTTTCACGACCAAAAGTTGTCCTGAAAATTAAGTCACTTGAAAACATCGCAGCATGCCAATCCAGTACACCTATATAGCCGTCTGATATTCCGCTTTGATGGATCAGATAGTGCTCAGTGTTATTTACTCTTTCATTGCGTATGACTCAATAAAACGAAGACGATTGGTGCTGTGTATTATCCACTTGCACGTGGAATAGGTACGGGAAATCATATGCTTACACCCGATTTCATTAGGCCAGTTTCAACCTGGCACGGAGTGCTTGTGTGCTAACCAACCAGATTGTTGCTTGACTGGTTGTCTTGACCCATTTCTTATTCACTGTGGATAATGCGTTGACATAACCAACAGCCAATGGTCAGTGGTAGAATAAGGACATTTGGTAACTCTCATTTGAGATTTCGTCCTACCAGTGAGGCCAACCGCTGCTGAAAAGCCAAGAAACTTTGATTCTCGTTTGAGACCGTACAGAATGTGCACCTCACGAAATTCAGGGTTTCGAACCTACTGCCTCCTGGCTAGTACTCTGATTACTTACATTTCCAGTCACGTGAGGCTGAACAGCAGTGTGATTACTCCAATTCTTAAACCTACCTACACTGTCCGAAAATTCAGTATGGAAATTCACCAGGAAATGTTTTAGTGTTGGCTTAATAGAAACAGAAAACTCGTACCAACAAACGAACTGTCTCCAGCAGATCTTATGTTTCCAGAGATTTTTTTGTCCTAAAATTAGTTTGTTTAGGCAATCTGAGCCTGCGTCATCTTAACTAGAACGTTTGTTGTGTGCTTACAAATCTAGTTCGTCGTTGAACCGGAAGCACCTCTGTCTCGCTTTTACGCACATGGAAAATTGAAGATAGATGGATTTTGTTGGTAGGGGAGGAAGAAAGTGGGACGATCTCTTTAAATCGTGAACTCTATGACGAATCCAAATGTCCAGTATGGATACTATACGTAGATACCATACCTGGATACCCGATAGGTATTACCAGTGCCCAGAGTTACCGGGCTACTAATTATTGCATGGTTAGTGTGGTTTGCCTTACACTTATTGCAGCTTTCAACAGATGACTACCTCATATAGTGAAAAATGACCTGTGTATTTGTAAGGATATCTCAAACCATATAGGCGGTCTAATCCACCGTGATTTTCAGATTCAGAAGAAATCACAACCCAGGTGTGAACTGAGACAGGCCGATTTGACCTTTGGTACCGAAAAGTCTCTAGAGTCCATGCTTAACGAAATACACTGATTTACAAACCAATTTGGTTTTGCGAAAAAATTCACCTGAAACCCAGCTAAATCTCTCGTTTATGATGTTTTTGAGCAACAGAATATGCTGCACCAGGCCGCCGCATGTTCTAGTTAGCACCATATCGCGACACATGCATAGACGTAATACACTACTCATAAGGTTGCTGAAAAGTTTTCGACAGCCCACGACCGGTTTTTCCCTTCTCGTGGCTCGTCAGGTAGACGCAGTTCCCGAGTTTTCGCCAATTTTATGTTGTGATTGAACCTAATTTGAACGACGCTAGCGAAATACACTCATTTGCCTTATTCAGCTTTTTTATTGACCCGAGAATTTCGGGAAGGTAATAAATTACTTGGAATATATGTGGATAATTCCCATAGCTGATCTCTTCTGACTAAACTGGTGCGCCGGTTGGTCCGTCACCAGTCTGCTTCGTCGCGAGAAACCTCAACACTCCCGACGCGCGCTTATGACGTTTAGGGCACCCTCAACGGCCAATCAGTGACCAACGATTACTGGCACCGTGTTTCGTTTAGCAACAACTTGGTCGCACCATATAGTCGTACGGTTTCAATCCCAACGAGGTTCTCAGTAAGTGGTGTTTTTCAAAATTCTCTTAGAGTATAAAATCCTCTAGCATGTTCAAAATTCAATTCACTGGTCGTAGTACAACAAGGCGCTTTGCCTTCGGTCAGATTTCTTAGAGGACTTTGGCAGTACAAACCAGCTGCATTAAGTGTTTCACAGCACTAAGCTGGTGTGCTGTGGCCAACGCCGTGGCGTAAAGTTCAAATTGGAAGATACCTCCTCGGTTTCAAGGCTCTCTATTTGAGTTTATCATGAAACAAACAGAATAATTTGCAGTGTATTCCCAAATTAAAATCCATGAAAATCAGTAAAATTTCACTATTTAGCGCTC